CATCGCCAGGAAGAGGAAGAGGGGGTTAAAAGGAGCTGGCTGATAGAGATTTGCTGGCCCACTGACAAGGTACTCCATACCAGCTTTAGAAGACAGAGACACAGTCATGTTTCTGTTTTCCCAGACTGAAATGTTTATATATAATGGTTCCATACTCCCCAGACTGGAGCCCACCACTGGAATACATCGTGCTCTCTCATCTACCAATCAGTCAGAGGAGATGGGGGATACAGTCTTGCACCATTTAGGTTTCCAAAGTACTACACCACACCATCCACACCAATGTGCTCTCTCTTGACTAGTGAAAACCACCAAACACAGACAGAGCAAGCCACACAGGGAGCTCCTTAAGGAAAAACGACAATGTCTACTTAAGGACATATCAATTTGCAATAGCCAATAGCAAGCTGGCTATTGTACCCGTCCCCTGCTGCTGTCAAGCAGCAGAGGAGGAGCTGATGGAGAACTTCAGGTCCACCTCTGCTGATTGACAGCAGTAGTGAACAGGTGCAATAGCTAGTCTGCTATTAGCTATTGCAAATTGAATTAGCCAATAGCAATCTAGCTATTCATTCCTATGCTGCTTTTTCTTTTCTTTTTTTTACCTGACTGACAGCGGCCGGTGGCCCCGATGTTAGAAAAAAAAAAAAACAGATAGCAGGGAAAGGTTTACTCTGCTAGATAGAGCAGAGTAAACCTTTCCGGGAGAAAATGTTTCTCTCCCGGGTGTTCGGGAGCCGCTATCCTATAGCGGGAGACTTCCGGAACGTCCGGGAGAGTTGAGATGTCTGGGACCCCTTATATAAATACTTGAATGTCCTTTTCAGGTTGAACTTGATGGACTTATGTCTTTATTCAACCTCAAATACTATGTAACTATGTAACTTTTCCTGGCCACATATTTACATTTCTGATTAATGGTTTGCTATTTAAATAGTAGAAAAAATTCAGGTAGATGTCTAGACTAGTACAAGTTTATGTAACATGCTTTACTTCTCTGTACCTGTTGCCACAGACATCAGTTTAGCTGAATTGTCGATGGATCCAGCCATAGCAAGGGCGTATGAGGCAACTGCAATGGAATATGGTTTTTTAAGAGTTGGATACTGGCCCAGCAGGAAGCTGGATGCCTTTTCAATACTAAGTCTCAGGTTCTATTGAAAAACAGAGAAAAAGTAAAGGGTTAATGAGGTTGACTTCTAGATACTAGGGCATAGATACATAGGGTGCAATGATTACTTAACCCATGAGGTTTGTGACCTCTCATAACTGTTCCTAGCCCCCTTAGTTCCCCCTGTATGCTCATCTTACCTCCCATAACTAATAAACATGGGGGTATATTATCATTTTGTGTGGATTTTAGGAAAGCGCTTACCGTATTTTTATATCCAAATTTATTCAAGAGGATATACAGGTGAAACTCGAATAATTAGAATATCGTGCAAAGTTCATTTATTTCACTAATGCAACTTAAAAGGTGAAACTAATATATGAGAGAGACTCATTACATGCAAAGCAAGATAGTTCAAGCCGTGATTTGTCATAATTGTGATGATTATGGCTCACAGCTCATGAAAACCCCAAGAACCCCAAATCCACAACCTCAAAAAAGTAGATTATTACATGCAATCAATAAAACAAGGATTGTACATAGAACAATATGGGACCTCTGAAAAGTACAAGCATGCATATGTACTCAGTACTTGGTTTGGGCTCTTTTGCAGCACTTACTGCAATTACTTAAACTGCAATGGAATATGGTTTTTTAAGAGTTGGATACTGGCCCAGCAGGAAGCTGGATGCCTTTTCAATACTAAGTCTCAGGTTCTATTGAAAAACAGAGAAAAAGTAAAGGGTTAATGAGGTTGACTTCTAGATACTAGGGCATAGATACATAGGGTGCAATGATTACTTAACCCATGAGGTTTGTGACCTCTCATAACTGTTCCTAGCCCCCTTAGTTCCCCCTGTATGCTCATCTTACCTCCCATAACTAATAAACATGGGGGTATATTATCATTTTGTGTGGATTTTAGGAAAGCGCTTACCGTATTTTTATATCCAAATTTATTCAAGAGGATATACAGGTGAAACTCGAATAATTAGAATATCGTGCAAAGTTCATTTATTTCACTAATGCAACTTAAAAGGTGAAACTAATATATGAGATAGACTCATTACATGCAAAGCAAGATAGTTCAAGCCGTGATTTGTCATAATTGTGATGATTATGGCTCACAGCTCATGAAAACCCCAAGAACCCCAAATCCACAACCTCAAAAAAGTAGATTATTACATGCAATCAATAAAACAAGGATTGTACATAGAACAATATGGGACCTCTGAAAAGTACAAGCATGCATATGTACTCAGTACTTGGTTTGGGCTCTTTTGCAGCACTTACTGCAATTACTTTTGCATGATATTCTAATTATTCGAGTTTTACCTGTATATATGTTTAGGGGTAAATATTTACCTTATCCATTATTGTTAGAACTAAAAAGTACAATTTTTGAAAAATATATATTTTAGCTAGATAAATATAAAATACAGCAAATTGGTAGTTTGTATTCTCATTTTCACCCTGCACGTGGACCTTTAAGGTCACAGGTTTCGCTGTCTAGTCTTATCTGCTTTCCTGAAATGTTGACAGAGCTCAATAGCTTCGCCGTCTGTTCCGCCAGTCAGCGCTGGAGGATCGGACAGGGGAGGGGGGAATCCAGTCCTGTCAAGGCTCTCTGCAGTGACAGGATCGAGAAGTGAGCGAGCGCCGGTATGTGTTCGCTCACTTCCCGATCTACTGAGCCGACCTGTGACAGTTTCATTGTCACAGGTCGGCTAGAACTATTAGGATGAGTGAAAATCACTCACCTCATAGTTCTCCTTTAAATGGAAGTTCATACTGGCAGCTTCCATACTGCTGTTGACACATGTCCCTGTTGCTATTAGAAACTGTCTTTCCATCTAATTCCCAAGATATAACTTCTCCGTCTGCCTGCGCTCAGGGCTGGATTTCCCACAAGGCCAACCAAGGCCCGGCCTTGGGGCAGCAGGGAGTGGAGGGGCAGCAGGGGTGTGGAATTCCTATCTCCCGATGCCCAGGACATGCAGTTCTGGGCGGGTAGTTGTTTTCAACATTTAGCCCTGCTTTGGGCAAGCAGAGCTAAATGTACAGCGGGGAAGCCGCCGCTTGTTTTGCACAAGTGATCACGGCAATGTCACCAAGATCATTTGTATGCAGCCTGCAGGTCTGCCATTCTCCATGGGGGAGTGTTGCTGGGTAGGGGGGCGCATTCAGGAACCTGGCCGTGGGGGCAGCAGAGAAAGTAAATCTGGCCCTGCCTACGCTGCATGGATAGAGTTGAGCAAAGCAGACAAATGGGTGGCCTGTGCCTTTAAAAGACAAGCTCTGTCCTAAGTCTGCAAGAACAGAGTGAGATGAGATGGAAAGCAGATGTTGAAAACCCCCTTCATTGTTATGGTGTACTCTTACATTACACAGGTAATACACAAAAGTAATAGGTTCACCATCATGCTACATTGCCATTTATCCTGCTTCAGACAAATACAGTATGTTGCATTATGTGACTACTGAAGATTAATGAATTGTTGTTCTTATCCGCCTTCCACAACCACCTAATTGGCTCTCATTTCAGTATAGGAGAAGGGTGGTTTATCTCTAAAACAGAAGCAGGTAGGATTTTCCAGTAACATCTGCTAAAGGGTTGAACAGGATCTTTGGGTGCTTTGAGATATCAGAGGACTCTGTTTAGATTCTATGTCCATGATTTGTATTGAGTACTCTATCTAGATACAATAGATAGTTATTAGCTATGCCCTGTGAAGCTCAATAGCCTTTCCGGATGCTGGATTGTTATCCTACCATTTAGCTGTGAGCTGAGCAGGGTTAGCTGTATGGATAGTTTACTTACATTCACATGTGGAGTACAGGCGGCCTCGCTTTCCAACATAGCAATGAGGACAAAGGCTGTGAGGGCAACATCTGGTTCTTTTGATCCTTTAAATCCACCCTGTGAGAAGAAAGAAAAGAATATGTGAACGGTGGTGCTGGGGCTTTGTATGAGTTTCAATGACAGGTAATGAACACAGATCTCAGCCTAGGCTCTTCTCCGATATATAATGATCAGCTAAAAGAAATTTTAACAATTTACTAAACTTTTTCTCATTAATGCAATATAAAAGAAGAACATAACTTTTCCATAATTAGGCCAGGAATAGGCAGGATCCTAACATTAATGTGTAAGACAAGCCCAGAAAAAAATAAACATAAAAACTAGGGATGCACCGATCTATCGGCCGCCGAAACATATCGGCCGAAAGTGCCATTTTCCTGGCCGATATAGCGGTGCATCCGCTCTTTCTCTCCTCCCCGCTGGGCGCTGCTCTGTGTCCCTGCGAGGAGGAGAGGAACTGTCACAGGCGGCCAAGCACTGTGGGAAGAGAGCGCTGCTGCAAAGTAAGAGATGAATCCACAAGTTAAATAGGTACTTACGATCATCTCCTGATGAATTACTGGAGCATCTTCTTTAAACAATCCATCTGGTTTCTGTTTCTCCAGGATCAGCCATTTAATGGCACCACACAGGACATTAGCTTCTATGTCCATAAAGGGACGGGCCATGGCAAAAATCTTGGCCACGTATGCCGTTAGCCTGTGTAGAAAAAGTAATTGTGAACCAAGTAGAGGCAGGACAAGTCAACATGAACCAATCAGAGGCAGGACAAGTCAACATGAACCAATCAGAGGCAGGACAAGTCAACATGAACCAATCAGAGGCAGGACAAGTCAGCATGAACCAATCAGAGGCAGCACAAGTCAACATGAACCATGTAGAGGCAGGACAAGTCAACATGAACCAAGTAGAGGCAGGGGAAGTCAACATGAACCAATCAGAGGCAGGACAAGTCAACATGAACCAAGTAGAGGCAGGACAAGTCCACATGAACCAAGTAGAGGCAGGACAAGTCAACATGAACCAAGTAGAGGCAGGACAAGTCAACATGAACCAAGTAGAGGCAGGACAAGTCAACCTGAACTAAGTAGAGGCAGGACAAGTCAACATGAACCAAGTAGAGGCAGGACAAGTCAACATGAACCAAACATAGGCAAGGCAATTTTTAGGAACAAAGCAGGACAAGTCATCAAGAACTAAGAAGAGACAGTAGAGGTCATTAGGGATGGGCTTGATGTTCGAGTCCAGCAAGAGTGCGACTCGAACATCGGCAATTCCTGTGTTCGGCGAACACACAAACTGTCAGGGCATTCGGTGGGTTTTTCGCCTGCCGAGCACTTATGAGCCCTGATTGGCTAAAGCCTTGCACCTGACCACAGGTCAGGTGCAACACTTTGCCCAGTCAGGGCACAGTACTCTGTAGGAGTCATGATTGGGCAAAGTAATGATGACTTTGCCCAATCATGGCACACCTGTAAGATGCCGTACAACTGTAAACAGTTGGGCGGAGCTAGCTAGCTAGCTGTCACTGCTAGCTCCGCCCAATTGTATATATGTTGCCATCATCTGTCAGAATGCCATTTTGCGGCGGGAGTTCGTCGTGAGCTGATAGGTCGGCAGGCGTCGTTTTTTAAAATGATTATTTCTAAGTATTTTTTCTTGTTTTATTTTTTATTTCATCAAGTTGTCATGGACAACGCTGGATGTTGTGTTGGACGCTGGATTACGTAGGTGGATCCATTTTCTTTTTTAATAAAAGACTTGTCAAAAACTTGTTTAGTTTTTATTCCATTAAAGGATATTTCAAAAGTCTGGTCTCTTTAAAAAAAAATAGATTTAACCCTTTAGTGAATGGGTAGGGGTACAAGTACCCCTTACTCATTTACAAGGGGGGGCATCCATTTATTAATGGGGTACCCTAATGTGAATAAGCCCCCTGCCCGCACCCCCACAACCAAGCGCCCTGGGCTTGTGGGTAAGAGGCCCTTGTCCCCATCGGCACAGGAACAAGGTGCTTTTCCAGGGGCAACCCTGGAAAAGCATCCTCCCAGTGCCGAGGGTATATGGCCTGGTATGGGAGGGAGGCCTGGTATGGGAGCTCTCGCCCGCCCCCCCCCCTTTTCCGGCCCTGCCAGGCCTATGCTCGGAACAAGGGTCTGGTTGGGAATATTAGGGGGGACCCCATGTTTTTTCCCCCCCCATTTTTGAGGGTGGGGTTCCTCATGCAAATTCCTACCAGACCTTAAGGGTCTGGTATGACTTTTGGGGGGAACCCCGCACTTTTTGTTTCTTAAATGGGGTCCCTCCTAACATTCCTACCAGACCTAAGGGTTTTGTATTGTTTGGGAGGGGGGACTGCACACTTTTTTTTTTTCTTTTTAAATGTCATTTTTTTTCCTTAGAAAAGTCATTTTTGTCTCAGAAGGTTCAATGCATTGTACAGATCAGCCACTTCACAGGCAGTTTAAGGGGACCCCCCAGGCACGATATTTAAAGGGATTTTTCATTTTTATTGTTTCACTTGAAGCAATGTTAAAATCACTGCTCCTTCAAAAACGGTATCTTTTAAAAGTGTTTTTTTTTTTTCATTGATTGCTGTACCCCAGCGCAGTACCCGGACCCCCCTCCACTTTTTATGGCCATTAACTTGCATAATAATCCTTCAAAATGGGGACAATTGATTTTCAAAGTTCTAGCCCGATAGACTTGCATTGAGTTTGAATTCAAATTTTCTTCCATGTTCTAAAGTTCGAATTCGAACCAAACACGGTGGTGTTTGGCCCATCACTAGAGGTCATCAAGAACCAAGCAGAGACAGGACATAATATCATAAGCCAAGTAGTAGTACAGTACATGGGATCAATAACCAGAGGCAGGACAAATCATCATAAACCAAGCAAAGGCAGAGCAACTGATCATGATCCAAGAAGAGGCAGGACAGTAAAACCAAGAAAAAGAGAGAAACTGTTATAGAACGCCCAGCATGGTGAAATAAAATGATGCTGTGACAAACAGGTAGTTTATCTTAGTATAGAGTTAATTTACCATGTGCTGGCTGGCCTCTCCTTGAAAGCAGCATAGGAATTGTCTGCTTTGCGGTAAACGAGTTGCTGTACATAACCTGTAAAAGGAGACATGAGCAATATTTTAGATTGATTAACTGCTAAATAATATATCTCCCACATCAATTTTCCTTACTTTAAAGTAGACCTTTACTAAAGGTAAAGTTGTCCATTAAGGTGCCTGTAGATATTAGATTACTTTTTTGGCTAGTTTAGGTCACAAACCAGTGACCGTAGATCTATAGGGCAGCACACAAAAGTCCCAAAATGAACCTTCTCTAGAAATAAAGCAATCAGAAAGGTCAGAAAAACCTCCTGATCACTATTATTTTACCCAGTGCCATGACTGTCTGCTTCAGGCTAATGCTACCTCCTCTAGAGAGCTAACCAGAGAGCTTGGGCAGCTACCTCCTCTAGAGAGCTAACTAGAGAGCTTGGGCAACTACTGTGCCCCTTTTTAGGGATGACATTGGACTCAGAGACAACTGGCTGATGTTTTAACTCAAGAGCACAAAAAGGTATTTTGGGGTCCCTGCATGGACATAGTTACACAGTCCATTTGAAAAAGGACATGTTGGAACTTCTTGCACAACCTCACAGAGAAACTCAAGCACACAGTTAGATATGCATGCTGCACATGGCTTGTCTAAAACAGGAAGGAAGCCACAGCTTTATTCTCTACCTTATTCAATACAACAGAGAATCTACCATAGATATAACAGAACTTATCAACACTGCCATCTAGTGACTGAAAATGTGTACTGCAGGAGTTATTGCTATAAACACAGTAATGTGTGTTCTCTCAGGACACAGCAATCAAGATCAAGAATAATGGCATGAAATAGGGAGAGGAGCATGGATGTGAGGTTAGAAATGTACATTATATGACCAAAACACACTTGAACTCAGTAATATGGAGATGTGACCACATACGTTTGGCCTTATGGTGTATATATGATTAACAGGTACCAACAAGCTTTTAGCCATGCAGTGTTACAGCAGTCCCCAGTGAGATCCTAATGAAGATGGCGATCAAGGGGTTCCCTGACTTATATAATGTACATACTGTATGGAGGCTACCAAATTGGTATTAAAGGTTCGCCAAGTTATGTTTTTGCATACATGTTTTCTGTTGTTTAGGTCTCTCTCTGTTTCAAATGAACAAATATTTCACTATTGTAGCTGTTTTGAAAAAAAAAATATTTAATCTGTGCAGAGTTTTGTTAAAAATGTTAACTAAAAATTCTATATTTTCCATTCGATGCTGGACTATTATCTTCAAAAAAGTTCCAGTGGCATTGCACAAGCATTGCAAAGATCTGGAGGTCAAGTTGGCAAACTGCGCGTATGCATCACATACCTGTTTTGATGTTCTTGATGGCTTCTTCTCTTCGGTTCAGACCTACTCTCTCCCACTGGCCTGTAGCATCCAGGTAGATTGTGGCGATTACACTAGGCGTCATAGTAATCATGTTTTGCTCTCCACAACCACGTGGCACAACAATTAAAGGATTGAGATTGGAGCCATCTATGGCATCTTCCACCATTTGAGTGATTGGAGTTCCTGAATTAAAGAGAGAAGCCTCTTCAGATGAGTGAACTTTTTTCTATTCAAAATACACACATAATATAGTCACATCAAAGCCAAGAAAGTAAACTTTGCAAAATTGATGTCTGCTTCACATGGTTATGGGGATGTTGAGAACATGTTCACTTTTTATATTTGTCTGCCAGTATACAATATCTTAATCCCATCAGACAAAGCGTTTGGGGCTGTCTGTTACAGCCGAAAGTTTGGGGTGAGTACGCACTCTATTAGGGGGATGTATTGATCTTAATACAAACCCCAGGAAAGCACTACTCTACCGAACATTGGAAAGCTCTGCTATTTGGCTTTGAAGCAGAGCTGTATATTACAGAGACTTTATTTGTTTATATATATTTTTTGTCAGCACAATTAATTGTCATTCACAATTATTCACAATTATTTTCGTTTGTATTTTTGTTTACCCACCTGAATTTTTTCACGCATAGGATTTGTCACTTAATGGTATTAATGCACATGGAGGTGTAAAAAAGTGAAGGATTTTTTTAATGTGTATAGACTGATCCACTTTATTTTTACACACTGAGACACGTAGAAGCACTTGGTTAAAAATCACCTCCTAATCGTACACAGGTTTATTAACTATTATAGTGCCGTGTTTTTTATTGATTAACGGCACTTGCATTTATGTGGTTTTCTTATGATTTGTAGTTCACAAATATGATTATATGGTTTTTTGATTCACCTACTAGCGCTGTTAATTTGGCTTAAAACATCTTCAGACCCAGTGGTCTTTAATACAGCAGCTTGTATTTTACATCACAATATTTATTTATTTATATTGATGTGTTGACACGATACACTAAAAAATCATCACATTGACTTTGCAGTATTTAATATAAGTAATCTGTTAAGGAAACACTATTTTGGTTTAAATCACTGCCACCTGTGTGATATACAGCTAATTGAACTCCTAGCACTGCTTATCTTGTTATATCAATATCTTAATTTGTCCAACTGCTGCAGCCATTACAAAGCCAAATAAAGGTGCCAAACTTGCCAATTGCTGTTTTTTAGGTAATGCAGAGCAATAAGAGAGTAACATATTCATGGTGGACTTGACAGGATAGACAAAGTTATGAATTGCTGTAGAGAGATCTTATCCCTTGTGGGTTTTTTAGAGATATAAAGAGGTAGTTGGTGTAGACACCTGCTAGTGCACACCCAACACTCTCTTGGGTAGGCTTGGCCTTCAACCTCTTCATCAGTGAGGGTAACTTGTCCCTTCGAGACTGGAAAAGGCTTTTTTGTCTCTTTCTCAAACAACACTGTTGAAAATTACTTTTGCTCTGGGTCTTTCACAATACTCCGTTATATCACTAACAATACTGCATGACTGGAGAACATTGAACATTGGACCATGTGTGGTCAAGTAATTGTAAAGGAACTAAAGGCTAGGTTTTACACTAGGGTGATCCGTGACCGTGCGGCAATCATGCACAAAACCGCGCCGTCACGGAGCCGCACACCACCCGCCAATCGCGCTGGTGGTGCCATTATTTTCTAATGCCACGCCAGCAGATTATGCGGTTTCTCGCCGCGATAACGCTTGTGCAATGGCGTGCGATCGCGGTTGAAAAACCGCTTGGTGCATGTCGCAAAAAGAGGTACATGTACCTTTTTTCAGCCTTTGCCGCATGGATATAACCCCATTGAAATCGATGGGGGCGCGTGGCAATCACTGTGTGAGGGATTCACAAGTATAAAACAGACAAAGAAAAGGGACCAATAATTTTTTTGATTTTGACAGAAGAGCTTGGACAATATTTCTCTGATTCTCCTGTGTGGCAATACTCAGCCCAAAACTCAGCTAAGTTCTCCATATACAATCAAAGGCCTGAAAGGAGACTTCAGCCAAATCCTTTATTTTTATAGCTTTGTCTAGGACTTTGGTTCCCAACTAGTGGGTCGTGACACAAAAGTGGGTCACGACCCCGTGTTCAGTGGGTCACCGCATGCCTTCCACTTTTCTAGGTGAGAGGCTCCTCTGTCTCCCCCTAGCGCAGCACTGTCAGTTCTCGCGCCAAGCAGCCAATCAAAATATGCTGCCCGACGCCAAGCGCTAGCATGAGGTGAGGTGGGGTTGGCTGGGGTTATGGCTGCGAGGGAGTTCCATCCATACATGCATTGCTTGTATAGCTCCCACGCGTGTCCTGCACTAGAGTGACATGGAATTTAGGCTCCCGGCACCTCTGCAGGGCGCGCAAGGGAGCTATACAAGCAATGCATGTACAGATGGAGCTTTGTCACAGCACAGCAGCCCACACTGGACTCCAGGCTGAGGATCCAGTTCAGTTTTCATAAGGTAGGGAGACTGGGTGGACATTGAAAAAATTTTGGAGTGTGTGTGAGAATGTCTGTGAGTGTGTGAGATTGTGTCCATGGTTGTGTATGTATGTCAGCAGAGGCGGCTCTCTAATTAGGCAAGTTAGGCGGTCGCCTAAGGCCTCGCGCTTACGAGGGCCTCGCGGCCGCCTAACTCGCCTCTGCAGATTCACCTCACCTGGCGAGTCCGTCGCTGGCCAGAAGGGAGCTGCAACAATTTCCAAGCGGGCAGAATGCGGCCCACGGCCTCCGAAAATCCCCGCTCCTCCACCATCTGCCACTGCGGGCCTCGCGGGGAGAATGTTGTGCCTGGCGCAGCCTCCGGACAAGCCCCGCCCCCTCCCCATCTGCCACTGTGGGGAGAATGGGGTGTCCTCAGCTGAAAAAAAATTCCTTCTCTGCACAGAGAGAGCCCGCCCGGTGCCATGGACTTGCAGAGGCTTTGGAGGAGGCCGATAACATCAGGGTGAAGAGCAGCAGGTGCATGGAGTTCAGGTAAGTGAAGCACCCCTCCTAAGGCTGCGTTCACACCTGGGCGTTTTTCAGTGCTGATCGAAGCGCTGAAAAACGTCCACCGCTCAAAATAGTACTTGAGCTTCTTGGGGGCGGATTTCCCCCGTTTGACGCGCACATTACAACCGCCCAGGTGTGAACCCAGCCTAAAAAAGGAAAATACATGCTAAAAAAAAAATAATAATTCTTGTTTTAAAAATACTGTTGTCAGGGCCCAGACACGCCATAAAGACTGCGTTCCAGTGCGTCCCGCCTGGCTCACTTTGTTTTGGGATAGGAGGGGGCATGGCGGTGCCATGAAGTCAGTAGCACCACATGCAACCCGCCCTCCCCCCGCGCCATGCGATCGCCGGCACCCAAATGCATGGAATATTAGTGCTGGCGTATTGGTCCAGTGCAATCTGCAAAAATGCTGCATGCGCTACTTTTTTGCAGATCACAATGTACCGGAACACAGGCACTAATTTGCCACGCGTTTGGGTGGTGGCGATCGCTCTGCGGGCGGGTGGCGTGGCTGCGGTGCTATTGACTTCAATGCACCGTCACGCCCCAAAACAAAGTGAGCTGACCAAGTTGCGTTCCAGAGGCTGAATGCACTGGAACGCACTCTTTATAGTGAGAGTTTATAGTTTTTAATCCAAAAGAACAGATAAAAAGGAGGACAGAAGCGCTGACATCTTACCCCTTAAAATGCTTTTACCGCTCATCAGTTTAATGTTATAAGTGATTAATGGCCCTAAAATTATTGCTCTCACTGCGACGTTTGCAGCGATATGCGGCACAATGGGTGCAATTTCTTTTTTTTTTTACACAACTTTATTGCTATCACATAGGGGGCTTCTTAGCCAATTTACATGACAGGCCCTCTTTATGGAGACATCAGGGGTCTCCAAGACCCCGAATGTCACATAGGGACCCCCAGAGATCTACTTCATCAGCTTCTGTAGCTGGAGAGTGACACTGAATGCAGGAAGTGGTGTATTATACTCCACTTCCTGCATTCAGGGACTGAGAGGAGATCAAAGAGAGATTGTGTACCGAACTCCCATTTGATCTCCTGTCACAGAGCAGCCGTGCCGGTCCCGGCCGCATCGGGCACAGTGGATCTCAGGACCGGCAAGGCAGTGACACCTACTCCTATACAAGTGGTCGGGCATCTCTAGAGACGCGCGATCGATTGAATGTAAAGCTCCCGGCCAGCTGTGTAAATTACAACGGCCGGCCGGGAAGCTACTCGTCGGGCTCCGGCGTCCTCTCGTCACAGACGAGAGGACGAGTGGATTTTTCAAGCCCTGATTATTGGTGTAGGTGGGGGCTTCACGTTTTGAGTTTTGCCTAAGGCCTCACAAAGTCTAGAGCCGCCTCTGTATGTCAGTGTTTTTGAGGGCCCGTTCTAGTAAGTTCGTTAAATTGTACCATGCAATCACACCCAACGTGGATTCTGGTGTGGGAGGTGGGTTCTATTGCCATTCATTTGAATGGTACCCCTTCCACCCACAGTTCGTACGCCCCCTGCACCGGAGCGCATAGTACCCTAATGTCGTACTTTCCATTGCATTGCGACTTGGGTCGCGACTTAATGACCAGGAACAAATGTGGGTCCTGAGGTTACACAGGCTGAGAACCACTGGTCTAGAAGGTGGTAGGATTATAACTTTGGGCCCTTACTTTCTGTTGCAGTGACCCCCTATGACCATGACAGGAAGTAGAGTAAATGTTCCTGGCAGGCATGGAGACAGCAATAGAGTTTCTAACCCTATTCTACTTTATCCCAGACTAGAAAAATCTGCAATTGGAGTCACACTTCAAGAGTGGATTTACTTGTGAGGAGATCCTCTTCTATATTCAGCATAGTAAAGGACTCCAACTAGGGATACCAAAACACCAGTAAACATGTTCTTGGTTTTATGTGGTATGCCCTCCCATTAATTAATACGTTTTCTACTTCCTTCAATTAGAACTTGCCCTTAGCTATCTTTTTTTCATAGTACTGAGAGCAATTTCCTCCACCCAATAGAAGTGGAAGAAATGACTCTTCTGGCTGCTGGGATGAAGTGATTTGTTACTAATGGCTACCACATTGTTAGGAACGCACAAAATTGAATATTCTCCCAGCCAAGCTTCCAATGATTATTTAGCGTATGTTTGTTGCAGTTTGCTTGGAATTCTTCTTTAAAGAGTACCAGTCACTGTTTGGTTTATGTAAAAAATAGGAATATTAATTTTCAAATAATTATAATTTTGCAGATTTGATTTATGTGTGTTTCTTGCTTAGCTCTTTTGGCTTAGCATGTGTCTGACTCTTTAGCCTGAGAGTCGGGGTTCAGAGTTCACGTAAAGCCTTGAAGTTGCTTCCGAGACAACTGCCTGACATAAGAGGTGCTGCACATGCAGAAGCAGGTGTGCACAGTCATGGAGTTGTCAGGGAAGCAACTCTCAAACGTCAAATGTCCACCGACCACCGACTCTCAAGCTGAGTAAGTAAGACCCTGGCCAGGTAAGTGGATCTAAATTAGTGGACATATTTAAATCCAGGTAAGACCTAACACTTATAATAATTTCAGATACATAATGAGATGGTTTGAATAATGATTCTCTTTGACAACCAAACCCTTCCTGTGGAGACTGTATTTGAGCTACCTGACATTATCTTTGCATTCTTTGATTTGTAGTATTTTTTGGTTTACCTTGAATGGTTACAATTGTCTCAACTTCTGTCCGAGGCACGATATTTTTCTCATTCAATGGGGAGATCAACTCTTTCTGGACCCCATCTGTGAGCAACATACACAAAGAGATGACACAAATCAGGTGACAATATTGCAGAACCCGGTACAGCAACAAACGGCAGAAGAAACACCATACAGCAAAAATTAATTAAAGAGTTGGATAATATATATGCTTACAAGCCATCATCCTAATACTTTAAAAAGATAATTTTCCTCTTTAAAGTGGATAACTGAGTATTGTCTAAATACAATAGACATGTGCTTTCTTACTTTAAAGTCCTTTGTGTATTTCTTCCAGATGTGTACAGTAATCCTGGTCTTGTATAGGGATAAAATGTGTATTATAAACTTTATTGATTTATTATGCATTGAAAAGTAATTGTATGCTGTTATTATTATTAGATCGGTTGCCTCCATTCCCCTGGGGAAGCGAATATAGAGAAACGCGTTGGGATCTATGCCTGATACGCAAGTTGGCCAGAATACTACTATATGAGATGATTGTGAATTTCCTAAAGAAATATCTGGATGTGTACAGGTGAAACTCAAATAATTAGAATATCGTGCAAAAGTCATTGCAGTAAGTGCTGCAAAAGGGGCCCAAACCAAGTACTGAGTACATATGCATGCTTGTACTTTTCAGAGGTCCGATATTGTTCTATGTACAATCCTTGTTTTATTGATTGCATGTAATAATCTACTTTTTTGAGGTTGTGGATTTGGGGTTCTTGGGGTTTTCATGAGCTGTAAGCCATAATCATCACAATGATGACAAATCTTTGCTTGAACTATCTTGCTTTGCATGTAATGAGTCTCTCTCATATATTAGTTTCACCTTTTAACTTGCATTAGTGAAATAAATGAACTTTGCACAATATTCTAATTATTCGAGTTTCACCTGTATATATGAATTCTAGTTATTTATTTTCTGGCTGCGTATGTAGGTTAATATGGGGGGAATCATGTCTTTTAGGATTAAGAGGGGTTTTTTTTTATTGATCTCATGTAAGAATATGTACTAATACATCTCATTAAACCCCAATCTTTTCTTGCTGTACATATATCTTCATCTAAGGGGGAGAGGTGTCTCCGGATAAGACATACCGAGGCAATTTATTCTGTGTCACATTTGTATAGGGATAAGGTTCAGGTTCAGGTCTACCTTGGGTTTGAGAAGGATGCTGCCTGTTCGCAGTCACAGCAAACTAATGTAGGATTTCACCCCCCCACCCAAATTCTTTATACCATCAATGTACTTAAAGGGTCTTTGATCTTAGGTCAGTTGCCATAGAAGTGTCAGTAATGGGGACTTTGTTATGTCCAAGCCCCCTCACTATAAAAGAGTGGAACAAAGCATCCATGGTGTCAGTGTATATGGAATCTGCTGTAGGGTTAGGATAGGCGAGACATACTACATTTAAACTGCAGTGAATCAGATTGAGGTACTGCTGATGTATGCAACCTAAGCTAACTGTAAAAGAAAAAAATCAAATATGTCCTGCTAGTGTAAGCTGTCGCTGAGACTGTCTGTGTAAATTGTACTGTTCTGTAACCCCTAGGTAAAGTTTTAAGGCACCCCCCCCCCAAGAATGATGTTTAAAGAGTTTGTGTGTTTTCAAAGTTGCCCTCAAATCTGCATGAAAAGACCCTCATTCTGCTGTATGGTTTTTTTCAAAAATGTATTTTTCCATTTGTAAACTCCCCCCTTGGCAGAACCCAGCCCCTCTTCAATAGCTTGCCAATTAACCAGAACAAACTAACAAGATTCACCTCCCATAGACTAAATTTGGGTTTTGCTTTAAGCAGAATTTGATGACCTTTCCTCAAACTAAACCCAGCCATATTCGTTCATCTCTAGCCTTGTGTCTGCCCCCTGTAGTTTTCCGCAGGCAATCTGTAGTTGAAGTATCTGTTGCATCGTTTGTAAACGTATTTTCTTATTGTTTGAAAAAAGTAATATAACTTCTTATTCGTCTATATAAAATCTTGGATTACTAAGGCATTTGGTGCATGCAAAGTGGACCTATACTGTATTTTCTATTGTGGCTCTTGAGGAATTTATTTAAATTATCTTTTTTTTGTGCCCAGAGTTAAGCTTTTGTGGTTGCAAAAAACATCCTCCACATATTTCCTTTTATACAACATAAGGGAACATTTTTCATTGTAGAAAAGGTTTATCTCATTCACAAGTTCTCTTTAATGATGCCAATGATAAGATTTCTAACGCTAAAATTAACAAAGACAATCTGTGACCTCAGAAACAACTTACCTTGCCCTTTCACAAGTGGTTCCAGGATCACAGTCTTGATATTCTTTGTAAGACGAACTCCTTCCGGCTGAAAGAAATGAAAAAGCAGTGAATTTTTGAGTTTCCATTTACCAAAGTCAGATGAAAACACTAAAGCGCCATGCAAGGGAAGTTACCATCCTCGGCAACATGAGTGTAGTGTTACGGATGCTGCTATAGTCCACTTGCAGTGGTATCGTCTGACGAGTGGCAATTTTTGATGCTACATTCTCATGTCACTTGCTTGTTGTGCCATATTTGTATGCATAGTTTTTAAAATGACTACTAAGATAAAATAATTTGCAAAGCCGTGACATTGCTCTCGCAGGATATAGGTATGCCATGGAATGTTAGTGTGCAGACACGCTAGAACTTTCCCAGCTGGGATGTAGAATAAGTAGGAGACTGCCACAGTTGGAGGAGCTAAGTGGGCACCTGATGAGGGGATCGTGTCGATATGATGGGGATTGCCATTGGGTTTCTATTTTTAAGCAAATTACACCCAAGCAAGTCACATAGCAAAATTTCAGCTTTACAAGTTCAGCTAAATCACTCTTCGCATGCCCGTGGACTTGGCAAGATTTGACCTACTGGCTAATTGCAGTACCAAAAGCTTTTCTTCTGGATTATCTCCCTTTTCAAGGTACTTATTATCTAAACCCATACTTACCACAACCTTGAGCTTTTTCTTGACACCATCAGCCAAGAACTGGTTTTGGACGGCAGCTTTCACCTCTACGTCATGCAGACCCAGACTCAGAGGGACAATGACAAAAGGAACAGAAACGGAGGAAAGGGGGTTGATGTCAATTGCCACACGGTATTTTGCTCTGGAGTTGGACAGACTGCAGAACTCTGGGTTGTGAGTAAATTCCACTCGGACCTGAAACAGATCAACATTGCAACATAGATGTTAAAGCTGAACTCTTAGTGACCACCTTAATACACAGATGAAATATATACTACATATGAGCTGTTTTTATTTCTGACCATCTAGATCTGAGATTTAGGCTGGGTTCACACCTAGGCGTATCGAATATATATGTTTCGGGTCGTGCGATTTGCAGTCAGACAAACGCGCGTTTCCGAGGGGTACTTGGCTGTATCCCAATGGAAACGCGTGACAAAAACACCCCAAAGAAGCTCCTGTACTTCTTTGGGCGTAGGACGTTTTGTAGCGTGTTCATACGGCCTGTAATACGCCCAGGTGTGAACCATACCCATAGGAAATAATGGGATTTAGGTGTTTGAGTGTTTTGCAGAGCGTTCGAACGCGATACAAAATGCCCAGGTGTGAACCGGGCCTAAGACAGTTCTGCCAAGTGATGACACCATTTTCATTGATACAGCTGCATGCACATGGGCTCACGGGAGATAGCGGATCTCTAATGGACAAAGTGATGTCACCCTGTGGGGTGGCCTGTTGCTTGATGTGAATAAGACAAGATTATCACTATACCAAGGTGTGCTGATGAAGATCCTTTTTTTTGCTATCATTGCATGGTTGCGCCATCCACCAATTTACTACAGTACCCTGCATGAACTGTAGGCAAAACTGTAGGGGGTGTGATAGATACAGTACCATTTTTCTGTTCTTGTTCCTGACACCCTCATTAGCCCATTTTATTTTCACAGAAATAGTTTTTTAAAAACAAAAAAATTGAAAGTGACAGTACACATATAATGATCAAAGACACGATAAAAAGGAAAAAACACAAATACAACAAACACAAAGGGCCTATTAACCCTAATGGTAACACATGACAATGCACAAATGGCACTCCAATGCACTAAGATGCTTTGCAATGTGTCGCAACGCACCACAGTGCTTTGTGGTCCAAATTTTGAGATGTTTTGGTGCAAAGTCAGACCATTATTTTCAATTGACTGCCTTAATGCAACTCACAATACATCACTGCAAAAAACGTAAATGGGCCCAAAATGGAATAAACTAAACTAACCTAAATAAGCCCCCCCAAAATATGCCCTTAAATAAAAAAAAAAAGCTTAAGCATCACAATAAAAAAAAATGTTAATCATTTTGGCAAAATCACTCAGCTTGAGAATTTGAACTGAATGGCTGTGTATTTCCTTATGTATTGACAGAATACACTGGTCTACAAGGAGAAAGCCTCGGAAATGAAAGATGAAAGTAGCTAAATTTGACCAGAATTGGGTCATAATAAAGGAAAATTAGGTCCTGAATATTAATTGGCTCCAATTTCCAAGATACAGCTTCAGGTCAACATTGTATCAAAATAATAAACAATGAAGTGATTTTGCCCTTACTTTGATTTTGCTGTTTCCATAATTGTAGAGAATGGCACGGATCTCCACCTGTTCATTCCTCACCACAGAATAAGGCAGCTTCAGGTCAATGAAGAAGTCTTTCATGACTTGGATTTCATAGGGTTTTGCAACACAAATACCTGAATTTTAAAAAGAAGAGAACACACCAGCTTCTGTCATTACGCTGTAAGCAATAACAATAACATTCATTCTGCACCACTACCATCCAGACAATGCCTTCATTTCAGGAAGGAGGGGCGGGTGGCAGCAAGAGCTCCACTTTCTCCACTTTAAAGTGAAGGATTCCATTTTAAAGGAAACATAAAAGCCTCCAGCCTTTCCAGCCTTCCTCTACTCTAACAAAGCAAATCATTGTATTTCTGTCTGTGTTGTTGTGTCAGATTTAACCTCACTTACTGTCTGGTAAAAGTTGTCAGTTGATCTCTCTAACAGAGCCCCAGATCTAACCAAGCCCCACCCTATGCATAAGTAAGAAAAACTATTTTTGGCTGGTTGAACACTTTAACTAAAGCCACCTACAACTTTCTTCTTGACCTTCTAAAGCCTGGGGTGCTCAGTTATGCAAATAAACTCAGAACCAGAAATGAGAAAGTTGGCATCTAGCTGACACTCCCAACGCATCGCCCTGCCTGCCCCCTGTCTGCCCCCCTGCCTGCCCCCCTGCCTGTCGCTTGCCTTTACTTCATGCTCTTCACTATCGGTCGCTAAATGCGATTGGTAATGCCTCGCCTCACCAACCAATAGTGATATATGGAAGAAGAGAGAGGGGACCAGAGCTATGCAGCTGAAATCTACACTTATTTATCCGGCATTTAACAGAACTCATATAGAACACCTGACAAAACCATTTGGGTCTTCAATGTCTCCATCATTAAGAAATAATAATAAAGGGTGGAGCTGGATTTTTAGCACCTTTTTAAAAAAAAACATTATTTTATCTACAGGATTGAATTAAAAGAATTGGTTGGTTATATTACCTTTATTTTCTGAAAGACTAACAGCGAGGACCTCCCAGGTGGTGATGGAATCTTTCAAAAATACGTTGAGCACTTTGGTTGAAATTCTGAAGGGATAAGGAAGCACAAGTTATCGTTGGATACATAAGAGTAGAAATAATTATTATTCCGCACTATGGATAACTAAATCCAAAATGAGTGCAGGAAGCTGCTGTACTATAAGGTGAAATGGTAAAAGAAAAAAACTGGGTTATAATTATTATTATTATTTTACTTTGCCTCTTTTGACAATGCTGAAAATAACTGTTTTATCTATCCAAATGGTAAATGTGAAAAGTGCACAGCGCTACCAAAAAAAAATGTTCTCCCTTACAATGTGTCTATATCCAAAAAGTTCCAATTAAAGTGAATTAAATGTTTCAAACTTAGCAGTTTATAAATCTCAATAAATATATATGTGGAAGTTTTAGAATTAATATATTATATTATGTTTTCTAACAAAATATAATATATTAACAACATTTCAACAGAGACAAAGTATTATAATAATAATAAATAATAGTAATTATAACCCAGTTTTATTCTTTTCCATATTACAGAATATTATCATTTCTTTATGTTAGCTTTGGAAGGGGGCATGTTTTACGATTTTTTAACAAATTTAATTTGAACTGCTCAATTTCCAAACATTACTTTGACGCTCCTACATCTCCACACGCAGATCAGAAGGACCTCTATTTGTGAGCATCTCCTTATTTTACATTTTGGAATAGCACGATACACATGGTGGCACCTATTCTCTAATGGGGCCATTTTTGAATATATGAGAACAGGAGAGAAGGATGTGTTTCTACTGACTATTGGCAATTTGAACGAGTAGAATAATTTGAGCTACTTTCCACATTACATGGAAAGTTTCAAACAGTGGTCTCCAGAGTTTTGTAGAGGATAACAAAAAGTTATGTTTTATTAGAGACTGTCTCTTAGGGTAGGATGAGCGGGTTCTAGAATGCGTGTCAGTTGTACCAAACCAAGTCCATAATATCTTTTTTTCTAGTAAACAATCTAGTAAACAATTCACCACCAAATTCGATCAAACTCCAAATAAACTTGATGCAGTGCCGTCATTAACACCACAACAAGCAAGGTTTTAATTTCTGTTGGTTAGCCCTTGAGTAGATTTGCCCTAACTTCCTGTAGTGCTGACAGAAAAAGAACTGAGGGGACTTCTTCCCAATGGGGCTACCGACACCAATTAAAACCCAACAGAGGATCTTACCTTACAACATTCTATTTAAAGCAAAAAAAAAAAAGTTTTTGTTGAAGTTGGCATTAGGATAAGGAATAAAAAAAGTGTTGGCAATACCCATTGGTTGGTCTTTCGCTCATTGTTTCTATCTTCCAAAACCAGGATTCAGGGAACTCACTTCTGGACACAATATCAGCATCGGGAATGTAGTTATCATCATCATCACCTGCAAAAGAAAATAAAGACATTTAGGACTAACCGATATTTCTGATCATCTAAGCAGGTGTTGTTGGCTTGTAGTGCTGGTGCCCTTTGTTTAGTTCTCTGTTGGTGCACATTTTAGAGTTTCCATGTCTCCTTGTTTCTCTAGATGAGCTGTTTTTTTCCTTGGAACGTTGGACTCCTCCCACAAAATTCTCCTTAGATTTACTGGCTTTCATGTAAAATTGGAACCTAGGTGTTTTTTGTATTTTATATGACTATTGTAAATCTCCATTAGTCTCCACTAAAAGAGGAACTGATGTAATTGTTCTATTGTGAACAGTGAGGTTCTATGGCAGCAGTGGCCAACATACTCCTCAAGTATGGCCCCCAAAATGATCAAACAGCCACACATAATGTTCAGTGTATGTAATGCTACAGAGACAGTGGACATACTACAGGAGATGGTCAGAGCCTGTTGGCATTGTACAGGAGATAGCCAGGAAGTGGTGGACCAACTTCTCTTGAATTGTATTGTGATTGTAATGTCTTCCTTATACTGTACAGCGCTGCGCAAACTGTTGGCGCTATATAAATCCTGTATAATAATAATAATGGAAGTGGAGGTTAAAATGTTCCTTCAAATTTGCCAATGCATAATTATTATTACAGGTATTTATATAGCGCTGACAATTTACGCAGCACATTTACATACCGTACATTCACATCAGTCCATGCCCTCAAGGAGCTTACAATCTAAGGTCCCTATATCACATGCATACATATAGGGCCAATTTAGACAGTAGCCAATTTACCTTCCGCGTGTCTTTGGAGCATGTGTAAGGATAATACCCATAGGGCGGACATGTTCCAATAATTTTAGTGAATAGCAGAAATGTCACCAGCACACCAGAAAGGTTTCAGCAAAAGTCCATTTAATGACCGCTTGCCATTCAATTACAAGCGCTTTGGGGGCCTCAAGGGGTCCCCTTCTTCAGGCTCAGAATAACCAATAATTATATTGGCCTCCACCTGTTTATGCCCCAGTAAACACAAATGTGTGCGTTCTTGGTATAAACCCTGTAGCTTCAGCTAGCTCTGGTCTTCAGGGGGTAATGCATGGTGGTCACTGAGAAATAGAATTAGTGGATCAAGTGGTACAGGTGGCATGGAGAGGTTTCTTAAACATTTCTGTGTATGGTGGTCCCATCTTTATCATGCCCTCCCATTTGCCATTCCTTGCAACTTTAAATAGGTTCTCTCATTATTTTGGGGTGCTGATTAACAACACAGACTGCACATGAATTATAGTCAGACCTTAATGATGCACATCTCCCATATTCTCTATAATTCTCAGTGCCACAGGGTGACACCGCTCCTTACTTCTTCCAAAAATGTCAACTTCTTTCCCTTCTCTTTCTTCTGCTTTCTTCTTCTCAATGTAGACACAGCAGTCCAGGAAGGCGTCCACACACTTCTGGTCCTCTGTAATGTGGGTTGCTCTGAGCTCACAGTTGTCACCCATAAGATTCTCCCTCATGCCATCTTTGCAGCATTGTCTTTCTGGCTCTTGATACTTGGCGGCTAAAACGAAAATAAGTGACAGCTGAGAACTGTATTTAAAAATGATCTCCAGCCCCAAACAGGACCCCTCACTTCCTAACCACCCCCAAACAAAATACCCAGTGACCCAAATACTCACCTAAATCCGTGGTCACATAACATGCTGGGTCCCAACACTTCTACCTTTTAATGGCAGAGCAGTGGTGCCCTGCAGATGTCAACGTTGCTGTCCACTGGTGGGTCCTGAAGACACCAATGGCAGCTTGTTGATGTCACAATGAGGGGAGGCATCAAGACCGGTCGGTGGCAGGCCTGGACTGCAGTGGTGAATCACCGGTCTGTACTTTGGTGAACTACTACCAGAAGAGTGGCCATGCAGTGTAAAATGATGGCAGCCTTAGGTAAGCAGAAGAGCTTGTTGGAGGGTTTTTCAAATATTGGGAATGGGAGGGAGGGAGGGAGGGGTTGGGTGGGAGAAAGTGGTGGTATATTAATTTTCCCAAATTATATGTTTTAAATTGAAACTATAATGGTTTAGGGTCAATTGTATTTTATTTTTTGCTTCTATTAGTGTATTATTTTTTACCTGATTTGTATCTTACATTTACCATTTATATGATGCCTTTTGTTTTAGTAATAAACCTTTTAACACTTTAACTCCAGCTAAAACTTTATTCAGCTTAAAGGAGAACTATGGGGTCAGGGCTTTTCCCCATAGTTCTCCTAAGGATAATGAGAGGACACAAACTAGCGTCCTCCCGTCACCCAAAGCTCAGTATACCGCGAGCTACAGCTTGCGGTATACTGAGACGCCGCAGCCGGGACGGAACCCGACAATTCTGTCTGGATCCACCCAGCTGTGTGAGTGACAGCTGGCTCTGCCTATCTAGAGGCAGAGCCAGCTGTACCGGTCCGTTCCGCCAGTCAGCGCTGGAGGATCGGACAGTGGAGGGGGGCATCCCTGCAGGGAGCCGTGAGTGACAGTCACGGTCTCTGCACGGATAGATCAAGGAGTGAGCAAGAAACGGTATGTGTTCGCAGTTACATTGTCACAGGTCGGCTCAGATTATGAGGCTGAGTGAAAATCACTCGCCTCATAATTCTCCTTTAAGCTACAGTCAGGAAGGACTAGAGCCTCTGCTGTTCTATCGCTGCTGTCTGTGACAGGGATTGGAAGTGGCAGGAAATCTTTCCAAAAAAAGGCACAAGCAAAAACACAATTTTACCAGAGTGGGGAAGGGTTAGAGTTTTTGACAATGGAATGCTGTCTTTGCTTTCCTGTTCACTTGACAAATGCTCCTTTCATTTCTTGTCTGTGCGTCACAGGGACAGGAAGTGAGGAAACGTCTCCGCAATGAGGTCAAAAAGAGAAAAATCAAAACCCAAGACAAGGTTTGGGAATGGGGTGGAACCCCTATCAGGTTTTTATTTCTCCCTGTGTTCCCTGCTGGTGTGATTCATCCTCTCGGTATGTCACCAAAAAAAGTGAAGGGCAATCTTATTAGGACAATTGCTTCAGTGACAACTAACATAGGAGGGGAATTCCTCTCACTTTGGAGATTTCCTCTTACTTCACGTTGCATCTCCAGAGCAGGAAGGGAAAGAAAATTTCCCCAGCAGGAAGAACACAGGAGAAGCTGTTTGCTGATGTGCCTCTCTTAAATTGAAAATTTGGATGGAGTAAAAAAAAAAACAGTAGGAGGGAGAGGAATCACTATTTGGCCACTAAGAATGACTTCATCAGCGTGCAGCTGCTCCTTCACCATCCAATCACAGGGTGGAGGAAGAGATGTAGCTAAGGAGGCAGAACTTTAGACTATACTGCAGCTCCATCTCTATACAATCAGAGGCTGGAGGAGGAAATATGAGGAGCTTTAACTACTACTGCTACTGCTCATTCACATCCAATCAGAGGCTGGAGGAGGAAATATGACAATGCTAGTAGAACTTCAGTCTGTGCTGCTGCTCCTTCTCTAACCAATCAGAGGCTGGAAGAGGAAATATGACTTAGGAAGTGGAGCTTTAACCAGTACCACAGCTCATTCAGTATCCAATCAGTGGCTGGGGGAAGAGATGTGACATAGGAAGCAGACCTTCAGTCTGTGCTGCTGCTCCTTCTCTAACCAATCAGAGGCTAGGGGGGGGGGGGGGACCACCA